TTATTATTATTATTATTATTATTATTATTATTATTATTATTATTATTATTGCTGAATCTAGCCCTGCAGAGGCGACAAAACAGATGGAAAGGACCTAAGCTAGCAGCAGCAATAGCCTTTAGCCTTATATTCAGGGCTTTTACAGCCCTCTCTTAGCTGTTTCCAAAGCCCAATCCTCATTTTAGAACCTGGAAAGGATGGAAGGCCGAATCCACCTTGAGCCTCGAACCATACCTGCCTCTTTTTTGGGGGGGGGGCATCCTCCGTATCCAGGTGACCTTCGGGGAGACCCTCGGGAGACCCCCACCTCCTTCCCTCCCTCCCTCCCCACCCGGGGCCAGCCACCTCCTGCCCCTTCTGAGAGAAAGAGAGAAGAATGTGTTTGCGCGGGTCGTGTGAGCGGCTCCGCGTGTGCCTGGGAACGGAGAGGCGACAGCCCCCCTCCCCAGGCGGAGGGGAGGGGAGGGGGGGCAGGGGCGGGCGGAGAGGGCCGCCGCGTGGTGGGGCGTCGGGCGGGCTCTCCTCCTCCTCCTCCTCCTCCATCTCAGCAGCGCCCTCAGCCTCCCTCTCTCTCTCTCTCTCTCTCTCTCTCCCTCCGCCTCGCTCGCTCGCTCGCCGCCGCCGCCGCTGCCGCCGCCTCCATACAAAAGCAAAATGTCCGCCGCCATCTTCGCAGGCGGGCGGGCGGGCGGGCGGGCTGCGCCCCGGAGCCGCCTCGCCTCTTCCCCTCACGGAGGGGGAGGAAGGAGGGGGGGGCGAGAGAAGGGGCTGCCCTGCCCCCCCCTCTTCTTCTTCCTCTCTCTCCCCCCGCCCCCCGCTTACCTTGATGCAATAAGGCGCCTCGTCGAAGGTGACCAGCATGTACCTGTCGCCGCGGCTGGCCGGGTCTCGGGCCCTCAGCTGCGGAGAGAGAATGCGGGGGGGGGGGGGGGGGGGGGAGGAGGAGGGGGGGGGGGGGCGGGGGGGGGGGCGGGAGCGGGGTGGGGGGGGCTCTGTGAGGAAGGGGGGGAGGGAGCCGACACGCGTTGAGGGGGCCGGCGGTGTTACGTGTGAACGTGCTTGGCGGGGCCCCCCGCGCGTCAGGCAGGCCAGGCAAGGCAAGGCAGGCCCGGGCCCCACCTTCATGAAGAGCTCGACGGCGCCCTTGGCCACGTCCAGGTAGCTGGTGCCCAGATACGCCCGCTGGTTCATGGAGGCGGACGTGTCTATGAGGAAAAGGAGGATCGGCATGGTCCGCCACGGACCCGCGGCCACGACGGGCGAGGGAGCCCCGGCGGCGGCGGAGGGGCAGCCGCCTCGCCTCTACCTCCTCCTCCTCCTCGGCCGCTATGCCCCGCTCCTTGCTCCGTCCGGCCTCCCCTGCCCGCCCCTGCCAGCGCTCCACCCGGGCGACCCTCCGCTCCGGCCGCCGGCAGTCACTGAGTGGCTCCCAACTTCGGCTCGCTCGCTCCCTTGCCTCGGCGGCGGCAGCGGCGGCCAGCACCGCCCCTTGGGGCGGGGCGAGGGGGGGGGGGGGGGCGGGGGGAAGAGAGGCATGTGACCCGAGACAGCGTCCCGTTGGCTGCCGATTATGCCGAGATTTGCATAGGGGGCGGGGAACCGCGCTGCGGCAGGCAGGGCGGTGGAGCCCGAGCGGCGCTCCGAGGGGACTTCGGGGGATGATTGGCAGCCGAGGGAAGGGGCGGGGCCAGGGACAACGCGGCGGCGGCGGCGGCGGCGGCTGCTCCTCTCCGCAGAGGGGCCGGGGGGAGGGAGGAAGGAAGGCGGACGGGGTCGGGCTCCGTCGTGAGAGGTGGTCGCTTCGCCTCCGCGGGGCGGCATTCAGGAGCCATCCGGGGGTCCTTTTTGCTCTGTCGGGCCTCCTCCCGAGTGGGGGGATCCGCAGCCCCCCCCCGCAGTTGCGCCTCGAGAGGCGATCTCCTCTGGGATCGGGCCCTTGATAGGATCGCGCTGCGCCGGAGGGGACCCATCGCAGCCCTCTCCTGCGCGCTTGGAGCCAAGCCGACGTCCCCCCACCTCCTGCTGCCCCCAAAGGCCCGGCAGCCTCGTTGCTTCCCGGGCCATGCCCGCCTCTGCCGGGGTCTCGAGGCCGGGAGACCCACCTCCCCGCCCCCCGGCACCAGTACGACCGGTTGGGCAGGTCGAAGCCTGGGGAACATTTCGGGGGTTCTTCGGTCCACGCATTGCCGAGCCAAGGCGCCGTGCGAAACCCCCAACCAACCGGAGGCTTAAATCTGGCGGGGTCGGTGATCCCTGCATTAGCCGCCTTCCGAGCGCCTCCATCCAGGCTTGGGCAAGTCAAAACCTCGTTCAGGCCAGCCTGGCGGATAAACCGGCCCAGTTTGCCCAGCCGCTTCCCCCAGATCGGCTCTTGGAAGCGAACGAGGCTAAAACGTGGCTCTTCCGATGGCTTCTTCAACCCGCAAAAGCTTCCGCCTTAAAGGTGGCTTGTTTGGAAGCGCTCCCGTCCTTGCCCTCCTTTGTGGGAATGGCTCATTTCCTGTTTTCCCTGGCCTTTTGCGTTGGATTGTTATGCCAGGTCGGACTGGAACACCAGCTACATAAAATAAAAAGATTCTTGCCCTGAGAAAAATCTACTTGCGGGTCCTTTCAAAAAATAAGTATCCCAGACCCTTCACTCAAAACAGAATTGCTTTGTACATATACATGTATATACATGCCAACTGTACCTGGGGCAAAGGAAAGAAAAAAATATTTACTTTGGGGATTCTCAATATCTTTTTTTTTTGTACTCGTGGATCTTTGCCATTGGTGAAAAGCAAAGCTGTTTGCGGCAGTGTTAAATAGAGGTATAAATAATATTTCTTTTCCTGAGCTGGAATGGGGGGTGTATAATTGGGGGTGACATGACATGGGGCTTCACCGGTGGGGCAGAGCAACAAAGGGGAAGCTGAACATTAGTCACTTTCTTCTGATCATTCAGTAGATTACAAAAATGTAATCCTTATCTGGTGTCAAAACAGCTTCCTTTAGATCTCAGCGAACAAGTGTCTTCTTGTAGGGTGGGATGGACTTTCCCTACCCAGCAAGAACAAGGTGAGAAATACAAGGCACCAAGCAATTTTCAAAAATGAGCTAAAATTTGGCTACGGGTATTAGATGCTAAATTAAAGTATTGATTCCTCTTTCATATACTCCCACCGGACAGGACATGGATAAATGAAAGACAGCAATTGTGGAGGCCAATCTAGACAGTCTTCCTAATCCTTGCCCCCTCCACAAAAACAAAGAGAATCATAATCTTAGCACTAAAGCCATGTTTACCTGTAGCTTGTCTGACATTACCCATAGCTGGTATCCAATTGCCAAATGTGACCTTAAAAAAACTATACAACCTGCTCCACCGTTTTGCAGAAAAATAACAGAGAAAAAATGTATTGAGAAAGAATTGCCATTCAGGTTTTGTTGTTGCTGTCACAGAGATGACTAAACTGTTCCGTCATTCACTGTTTTTGTTTTCAGAATTGCTTCCGTGGTGCAATAGTGTGCTCCCTTGGTAGAATCACTTCAACACTTCTGAGGGGAATGATAATGATTTAATTACTGTTCTAAGAGCTGTCTTTATAATGAGATCCGTGCAGCTTTCTCCATAATGGACTTTAGCTTTGCAGCAGCTTCTAGTGTGATTTGATTGCTTATTGTACCCTACGACTATTATTCAGTGTACCTTATGATTCTTGATAAATGTATCTTTTCTTTTTATGTACACTGAGAGCATTTGCACCAAGACAAATTCCTTGTGTGTCCAATCACACTTGGCCAATAAAGAATTCTATCTATCCACCCATCTATTCTATTCAAAAACTGGAAAGGTTGGATCCCCATCATGCGCTATGCCCAGACCTAGGGAGGCCTACTGCAAACCTGCATATCAAAACCCCTTTTTGCATTGCTGTCTTATTTGTGGCTGTGGAATTCTGGGAGTTGAATGGGGAATTCTGGGAGTTGAAGTCTTAAAAGGTTGGACACCCTTGGGCTAAACCCACACTTGGTTCTTTTGGGGTCCTCGGTTAGCGCTGTGAATTGTGGTCAGCCTTGACAGTTGTACCCCACTGGGAAGCCCACCGTGGCTTATTCAAGAAATCCCAGTCAAGCCAACCAGGTCAATGCATGAAGAGGGAGGGATCCATTGGGGAAGCCAGGTCTCCTAGGGGCTTCCCTGTTTGGCCCACAGATTTGCAGCCTTCCAAGGGTCCCCTCTGCAATCCAGAGGAATTCCCATTCCTCTGGATTGCAAGACCTTTATGGACATTACGTGTTTATGTTTCAATAACCCGTCCCCCCCCCCCCCCGCCATTGAGGCGGACCCAAATGAAACCCACCCGCCTCTGCTCTCCAAAAACAGCCGTTACAAATGGCGGTCCGGCACCCTGAGGGACGAAGGGCGCATGCGTGGCTTGGTGACCCCGTCTCCGACGCCACCGCAGGAAACGGCCTCTGCGCGCGCACGTTCTTGCGATCGATTTGGGGAGGGGGGAGAAGGCGGGAAAGAAAAAGAGAAGAGGCGGTGACGCTAAAGCGTAGGTGCCGCGCAGGCGCAGTGGCTCTGGTCCTCGCTCAGTCCTCCACCTTCCCAGCGTCCTTCGGTTGTCCCGGTGACGTCAAAAGGGGGGACGGGGAAATCGAGACTGGCGAACCGGCCCGCTGAGGAGAAGAAGGCCCGGAGCTGGCGAGGCGGGACGGCGGCGCTTCTCTCCGAGGTTGCCGCCCACAGACGAGTCCGGGACGGCGAGCATGGCCGGCGGGGTGAGCGAAGTCCCCTCTCGTTGGGTTTCTCTTGAAGGGCGGGCGGAGGAGAAGGAGGAAAGCCCGGAGGCTCGTGTGAGCGCGTAGACGCGTGTCAGCAAGGGAGACCCGTGTCGGGACCGCCCTGCTTGGGTCTCTCCGCCCGGCCACGGAAGAGGGAGGGGAGGGCGGGGAGGAAACGAAGGAAGGAAGGAGAGACCCACCCACCCACCCCTCCGAGCCCCAAAAGGGAAGGTGCCCGAAATGGGGACTGATAGAGGGGCGTCTCTGGCCGGGGTCGTAGTCATGGAGGAAGAGGAGAGGGGGGCTTTTGAGGAGGGGGGCAGTTATTAAGAGCCTGGGGGATGTTTGGGGGGGGCTAAGAAATCCAGGCTCCGGTGCTGGGATGGGCCCCTACCCTTGGAGTGGGTGGGGGTCCTCAGGGATTGCCTCAGCCTGGGTGGGGGTCCTTAGCAAGAGCTGAGGGAGCTGCAGCCCCCTTTCAGAATAAAGTGGGGAGGGGAGGCCTGTCTGAACCTTCCTTGGGAGCAGATCCTGGGATTGGGGTCTGGGGGGGGTACCTAGAAGCCCCTTCCCCTCTTCCTGACCATCCCCTCAGGTATGTCTGAAAGAGGACGAGGCTGCTTCCCAGCCCCTGGATTTGGGAGATGAGATGAGAAACAAAGAATCCAGGCTGCCCTGCAACTTCAAGGGTTCCCAGGAAGCTGGTTTCCAAGAAGGGCAAGATGAGTCATGAAGGTGGAATCAGAACCAGCTCTGGTCACTTCCTGCCTTCGGTGGCTCCTTCACCGAGGGTGAAAAACATTTCTGAACTGTCTGTGAACTTTAGAGGTTAATTGAAGTCAGTAGCAATGGCAGTCAGACTTATATACCGCTTCACAGTGCTTTCCAGTCCTCTCTAAGCAGTTTTACAGAGTCAGCCTATCGTCCCCAATAATATGGGTCCTCATTGTACCCGCCTTGGAAGGATGGAAGGCTGAGTCAACCTTGAGCTGGTCAGGATCGAACTGCTGGCAGTGGGCAGAATTGGCCAGCAGTGCTGCATTCAAACCATTGCGTCACCACAGCTCAATGAAGTGACTCTGTCTTATTTCTCCATCTAATTTAGTTGGCCAGACAAGAATGAAAAGTAATTTCGAACTATCTTGATAAGTAGACAGACAGACAGATAGTGATGGAGAGATGGAGGAAGAGATGGAGATAGAGAGATAGATGGAGGGATAGACAGATAGGATAGGCCAACTGCTGAGGGAAATTAAAGTTTCTATGTTAAGACTACACATAGTAATTTACCCTGTGTATTATAACAACATGAAATAGAGCCAGCAGAGGTAAACTAGTTTTGATATCTTGACGGGGAAAAGCTGTAGGATAAAATAGTGACAATTTAGATGAATATTAGTGATTATCCCCAAAAACATATACGGCAATCTAGACCTTCAGTGGGGTGGCGATGTGTGAGGTGCATCTGATAATTTTAATTTTTTTTTATAGATTATCTGCTTTCACATAATGCTTAAGGAGCAAGTCTGCAATGCTTTCCATTTGGATGTGTTTGGAGATTTCTCTTGCTTCTAGATAAATAAGGAGATTTTTTTTAAAAAAAAAGTCATGCTAGTGAGATGAAGGAGACTGTTGATTCTTTTCTTTAGTGGGATTCAAACTCTCATGTTCTGCTTCTTTGCCTTATAGCTCCAGCATGACATTGGCTGCCCGCAGGCATCATCTTCCTTCCTGTCTTGGCCAATTCCCCCAGATTTTTGATGGGGGGCTATTTTTTTTGCAGGCATGCCGTCAAAAGAAATATCCTCCTCTGTGTTGTATTACTCAACAGGTAGCTGCCAGGGCTGTTAAGGGGGTGGACTGTGTGGCCTACAGGACGCCTGCAGTTATAGGCTTAGCAATGGAGGTCCAGTTTATCTGCTGGGGAAATGCGCTCCTCCCATTCAGTTCACTGGTGGCTTCCAAGCGTAGGCAGTTTGTAGAAATTACCTCCAACATAGTCACTGACAGGCCAAGTATTTAAGGATATTGAAGTCACGTTTGTTTTATTCATGTATATTTGTTTATGTGCTGTTGATTGGGGGTGTCTTGTCTCTGTAGGCTGAGCTCTTACTTGATGCTCTAAATGCGGTTCGGGTCTGCTTCTGGCATAATGTAGGGATTAAAAGTTCCTTAAAATAGGTCGGATGAGAAAAACACAAATTGCTTCTATCCAGGGTGGTGCCATTTCAATAGGTTGGTTCACTTTAATTATTAGCTTTTCCTGGAATCGTTGGTTTATGCAGTACCAGATAGGGGGTATATTTTTCAATGATCTTGTTGTGTCCTTGCAGGCTGGCCGGCTTCCAGAGCAGACTCGTTGGGGTTTTCTTTTGTGCTTGAACGAAGCCGTGCCTCTAAATTACCAACAGCACCTAAAGAATCGAGTCCTAATAATAAGATCCGACATTCAGAATAATTGTGGGCTTTACTTTTCCATCCCCAAACAAGAAAAAGTGGCCCAAATTCCCCTGCAGGGGTTCAGTAACAAGAGCTTGGCCTGCAGCACCCCAAATTTCAACGTGCTGAGGATTTTGTTTCGCCTCTCAGTCTACAGACGACACATTTATGTATCTTTATGTATACTGAGAGCATTTGCACCAAGACAAATTCTTCGTGTGTCAAATCACACTCTATCTATCCACCCATCTATTCCATTCCATTCCCATTTCATTCTTTAAACTGACTGTTCCTTAGTATGATTTGATTGCTTATTGTACCCCATGACTATCGTTAAGTGTTGTACCTTATGATTCTCGACTCTTGATGAATGTGTCTTTTCTTTTATGTCCACTGAGAGCATTTGCACCAAGACAAATTCCTTGTGTGTCCAATCACACTTGGCCAAGAAAGAATTCTATTCTATTCTACACAGAACAGCAGCCGTTACATTCGCCGTCTCCTCCTTCTGTTTGCAGGCTTATCACAACGCTCTCCGAGTCTTAAGTCGCTGTGAACAAGAAGTCTTTGGAGACTGAGCTACCCACCTCCCCAAGTGCTAGAAGGACCAGGAAAGGAGGACTTGGTGCCAATGCAGCAGCAAAAAAGACAACCAGAGTTAGTGGAAGGGAAACTTCCCGTCTTTGTGTTTCCTACCGAACTCATCTTTTATGCCGACGACCAGGCGACGCACAAGCAGGTGTTGACTCTCTACAACCCCTATGAGTTTGCCTTAAAATTCAAAGGTGGGTATTGAAGCCTTGCTGGGGGACTGGGGCGGGGGGACCAAATTGTACTGAACGTTTAAATTACAGAATGTAGGGCAGAGGTCTCCAAACTTGGCAGCTTTAAGACTTG